GTCTTTTGAACACGTCTGTTACTGTGTGCATCTGTACTGAGGGGGCAGGGAGCCCTGTGGGATGATCGCTATCCCACAGTGTGCAATTACATCACATAATCACATACAAAACATGATGGATCGCTCCCGTTTCGCGCAGAGTTAATAAGAAAACAAGAGTAGTTAAGAGCATGCGGCGTTATCTTTATCAGCGACCGATCTGAGACCTGCGCTAGTCAGCAAGGAGTTCAAAGATCCCCAATCTCTCCTATCGGTGAATACAGAACTGTTCACAACTGATAACGGTTGAGTTGCAAGTTTACACGTCTCTCGGTCAGTCCTGAGTGTCATAAATATAACTTCAGCACACAGACCCTCATTCAGAAAGACAGCAAAGCTGAGGGGAGACTGAAGAGCTCTTACAGATCACCCACAGTGGATGTGACAACATGTCAGACACGCCCACAGCACGATGTCCACCTGTGTGCTGCAATTCAGGAGGGACACCTGACTCGGGGGGGACCTGTGAATCAGAAATGGGCACAGGGTTTGCCAGTTCCGTATCCAATCTGACCTTTTAAGGGCTGAAAACATTCTTGGAAAATACCCCAAACTCAAAACTTGAATCAGTTCGACTGTGATGAAGTATTTGGCTGGAACAAAACCCAGGAGCAGAGCCTGGGAACCACAGCTGAACGCAAGGCAAGGGGACGCATTTCAGGCACAACACAAGAAAACACGTGAAAACACAGGACACCTCAACTCCACGTTTATTTTTTGACAGACAACGGCTCTCAAAAGGCCATGTGCTCCACCTGTCTAATTTCAAATAATCAACTGTGCGTGCTCCTGCCCAACAGAGGCCTGTCGCCACTATCAAACACTGGCAAGGGAACCTGTGTCTGCTCAGTGTGCTCAAGTCCCAGGTCATTAGTCTACCAACACGCCCAGACAGGTCATTTGTGCATTTATATTCCAGACTCGGACACGGCGAAACACCCCAAAACAACCTAACCTCACCAGGTAAAACTGTGAGGAGGTGAGTGACTAACTGCCTGGCCAGAGACGAAAGCAAATCACTACACGTGCATGA